ATGCTGGATTCACACTGCATCCGATTTTCGTCGTACGACGACTCTGCAACCAATCAGGAAACAAAATTTTGCTTCGTATCGATGATACGATTTTTCTGATTGGTTGCAGAATCGTCATACGACGAAAATCGGATGCAGTGTGAATCCAGCATAACCCTTTCGTAATGATCATGTAAAAAAGTGGAGTTGGAGTACCAGAAGAAGAATCAGGGTGCAAACCCATGCAGCGGAATAGCGTAAAGGTGCTTTTTCATGCGCAGCACGCTGCAGCAGCAATTCGTTACTATTGGTTAAGAATTTTATGTAAGCTAAATGACGCACTTCCGGCGCAAAATACATTTTGCCGCAGTTCGTTGAAGTTGAACCGAACGAACAGCAAGTAGCAAGCGGCAAAATCGAGAAAACGTACAATATGTCCGTCGTTTCATTATGAAAATATTATTTATTGCAATAAATATTAGGAAAATAAACGAAAAATGGCTTCGGATAAGGTACGGATACATGTTTGTAAATTAGATCATTTTATACTTTACCACAAATTTGAAAAAGTAAAGTGTAAAGTATAAAATAATCTAATTTACAAACATTCGTACCTTATCCGAAGCCATTCTTCGTTTATTTTCCTAATATTTATTGCAATAAATAATATTGCCTCGATTTTGCCGTTTGCTGCTTGCTGTTCGTTCGGTTCAACTTCAACGAACTGCGGCAAAATGTATTTTGCGCCGGAAGTGCGTCATCTAGCTTACATAAAATTCTTAACCAATAGTAACGAATTGCTGCTGCAGCGTGCTGCGCATGAAAAAGTACCTTTATGCAAAAGTCTGTGCTCCCAGCTTTAGAGTGGTAAAGTTGCATGCACATATATCAACACACTTGTCACTTGCGCATGCGTACTATAACAGCCAATCAGACTTAGGCACATATTACCTCGTCGCACCGTCCGCAGTGGGACCCCCCCCCCCCGCATCGTTATGCTCTGTCCCTATATTTCTATGTCCATGCTATATACTGGCTGCGTTCCGCAAAGCGCATATGCACGCATTTTATATAGTGAGCGTCACGTATACTATAGGGGAATGCGCGCATATGCGCTTTGCGGAAAACAGCCACTAGTCAAAGATCGGGCGAGTTCAAGACGACGTAGCGGCTAGGTACGCTTGCCGAGCGATCGAGTATGTTTGGTTGGATCTATAAGTAATAACCAATTATATTCAATCGCTCGGCAAGCATACCTAGCCGCTTTGCCGTCTTGAACTCGCCCATCGATACCCAGCTAGCGAAGTTCACAATCAAAGTTGGCAACATTGATCCGCTTCTTTCTTCATCTTTCTGTTCATCTTCTTGTAGGCCTTATAGCGTGATCGGGGGTGAGTCACATCACGATTTTGTACAATATAATTTAGAGATTTAGAGAAAATAAACAATCGTACACATGATTGTTGCTTATTTTTATATTTTGTCCGATATTTCGAATTATGACATCCCACAATTTCGTATTCGCAACCATTCGCGACGTAGTGAAATCAAACACATGGCCAAATGGCCCAAACGTCTTCCATTAAGGTGTATTCAGGAATTATTCTCAGATAATTCTTGGGTGTATTTTTGCTCTAATATACGTAACTTATAGTCGTTATAACTATAGCCTAGAATTACTTATGCGTAATTCTTGAACGCAGCCTTGTGCTTCCTGTCACATATTACATGCTAACATACCATATTTCAGCGATCTAATCACATTTACTCACGATTTGTCGCAATAATCACGATCACATGCGGTAGGGATAATATTTCGTGCATTCATCAAAATTTAACGATTCGTCGCTTTCTTGTCATTGACACGTTGGATCTTAACTTTTATTTCTATATATGAGTGCATGTGTCACCGACAGTCTCAAATTTGAAAGCTTGTACCACACATACTGCAATCTGTTAAAAAATTTTTAACCAAATGGTTGCACTGTGGTTTATCCAATTCGCTAATGGCTTCCTATATGTCTGAATGAAGAACGATTTCTCAATATCTATGATTTTTCAAATTCTTGAAATAAAGGACCCCGCACGTTTCATATGAAAAAATGACCCTGTCAAATTGCTCTGTTTTTGAGATATGTTGCAATTCTTGTAATTCTGAACAAATGTCTCCATTGTCACATAAAATCAATAGATAAAAAGATATAGCGTTTTGAAATCTCAGAATTTGGATGCCGCCATATCTCCTTAAGATAACTTGATGCTTTTATGTGTAATAGATATACAACATTTGTTTAACATGAGTTCCCTTGCCTCTCACATCAGAGTGCTTGTTTAATTTGAATCACATTTGACTCATCTATATCATCCATATCAAGAATAGTCTTCATCATTCCTATTAAATCAATATTTATAATTTGATTTAAGACAGTTCTGTTTGGATATTTCACATTAAGCTGATGTCGGCATAGCCTAAAAACTATTATATATAATACTCGTTATATGAGTGCAACATCCCAAGGTTCTTGCATCAGTCTTACATGTGTAATAATATCCTAGAATTGTGGTTCACATCTTACATTCTGAGTTACACTAAAATTGAATTCTAAAGAATAATATAGTCTATATGTATGTGCTCAAAATTATCATACATTCAAGAATACATGTGTATGTATACACATAAAAGAAAGCATGAAGTTATCTTAAGGAGGTATGACGGCACTCAAATTCTGTAACTTCAAAGCGCTATATCTCTTTTTATCTATTGATTTTATATGAATGTGGCAATGGAGACATTTGTTCAGAATTACAAGAAGTACAACATCTCAAAACAGAGCAATTTGACCAGGGTCATTTTTCTATATGAAATGTGTGGGATTCTTTTATGGTTTAAATTTAATTTAGCTAATTAAAATATATAATTAATGTAATATGTTACAGAATTGCTAATCATGCAAATCTTTGTGAAAACTCTTACGGGGAAGACTATCACCCTTGAAGTTGAGGCATCAGACACGATTGAAAATGTTAAAACAAAAATTCAAGACAAGGAAGGTAAGAAAATTGTTGATCTACAGAACAATCTTGGAAAATAATAATAAATATTTATTATATTGATCGTTAAATAAAATCTATTTGAAATTAAATCAAAACAAAATTTATTTATTTATTTGAAATTTAATCTTAAACTCTTGTGATACTTTAGTATTTCTATATATGTATACATATATGTATGAAAGAAAAAGAAACAAATTATTATTTTTGTATTTTTATCCAATAAAATGTGGATAAAAATCTATGTTCACCCAAGCGTCTGATAAATGTTTGATAGATGAAGAAAATTATGGTGTACATTTTTATTAATATAAACTAATACTAATTTGAATAAATTACTGTCAATTTCTAAACGGGATAATTTTATCGTTTTAGGCATTCCACCAGACCAACAAAGATTGATCTTTGCTGGTAAACAATTGGAAGATGGCAGGACTTTGTCAGACTATAACATCCAGAAGGAATCTACTTTACACTTGGTGCTGCGTTTGCGAGGCGGTGCCAAGAAACGAAAGAAGAAGAATTACTCTACCCCTAAGAAAATCAAGCACAAGAAGAAGAAGGTCAAGCTAGCAGTGCTTAAGTATTATAAGGTAAATATTGCTATCCTTTTCCTTTTTTCATGTTATCAATTTTCTTTATCATATCAAAATAATTTTTACTTTAAAATTTCTAAATAGTCCAAGTATATAAGACCGTGATATCATAAGCGAAAAATATCACGTGTAAGTTTCTTGTATTTAGTATTATATTATTTGTAAATAAAATACCAGCATAAAGAGAATTTGGATGAAACAAAATAATGAGAGTGCTTTGAAACACTTACAAAAATTGACTTACAATTATCCTTACCTCTTCCTTCCTGATAGTCAATAAATAGTCATAAAAGACACATAAAGTGAATCAAGATCCCGGTACCTACTGCTGGATACAATTACGGCTAATACTGCTCTATCTGTTTCATTCTTCATTTCTTTGATTCTATATTTATACACATACAGGGTGTCCCAGAAAGAGTGCAAAAAATTACGTGAACAGGTAGAGCGGATTGAACTGAGTCGAAAAGTCGTCTACGGTTTTGCAATTTTCGCAATAGTCAACGAGATAAAATTTGGTAAAAATTACCGAATACCTGCATTCACCCGTCCTACTACTGCCAACAGTGTACGCTCATCGGCGTTTGGGGCTCGCCAGGCAATCCCCGCTCTCCGCGATCCGCGCGCCGACGAGCTATCATGAGCGTACACTGTTGGCAGTAGTAGGACGGGTGAATGCAGGTATTCGGTAATTTTTACCAAATTTTATCTCGTTGACTATTGCGAAAATTGCAAAACCGTAGACGACTTTTCGACTCAGTTCAATCCGCTCTACCTGTTCACGTAATTTTTTGCACTCTTTCTGGGACACCCTGTATATGAAATTTTCTAATATATTTTTTTGTTATATAGATTCATTTTTAAAAATCTATAATATTCTATCATCTAATCAGGAGCCTAAAGACGATTTTGTTTTACATGCATGATGTTATGAATCTTTTACATAAAGTGTATATTGTCAAGCTTTCATATTAAATCCCGATTTAATTAAAGTTTAGCCCGAGTTGTGATATTCGTCTACATTTATTAATTTTGGTGAAGAATTTTCAAATCTCGAAAGTAATACATACGAAAAAAATGGTTAAAAAATTATTGCGTCCAGTTGATAAAATGGATAATACTAACACTTTTTTACTGGTGTATGTGAAATTGAGCATTCATAAAAATAATTTACAGGTAGATGAAAACGGAAAAATTCACCGTTTGAGACGAGAATGCCCTATGGAGCAGTGCGGCGCTGGTGTATTCATGGCGGCAATGGAAGATCGTCATTACTGCGGCAAATGCGCATATACACTTGTATTCAATAAACCAGAGGAAAAATAAATTTCTGAAATATATCTTTACATATTCGCATTCTGCAAATGTTACGTCCTTATTATGTTTCATTTCTTATATATTTCACTTAATTAAATAATCTAATCAAAATACGTAATCGTTATACTATCTGGTTCATTTTTTATACAATTGAGGAGCTGGATTCTATAAGGAGATACGCGTGGATTTCGCGGGATAAGTATTGTCCGCAGGACTAATTTTGGACATCGCTCTAATTTCAATTTTGACGCCTGATTCTTGTAGAAAATTCATAGCACATTTTTTTTATCTTTAAATAAAATTTGCATTTTTGGTTTTTAAGTTATAAATAAAAAAAGTAATTTTTTTAAATTAAAATATTTCATGTTCAATTTTGTGTTTAACTCGCCATATCTCAACCAAATATGAATATTTTTCTTTGAAATTTTAACAGAAGTTCAATATGTTTCTCGAAATATATATAGAGCATATAAAAAGTTTTTGAAACATTTCACAGCCAAATGCCGAATTTTTCAAAATAATCTCGAATTCGTAGTTTTATTTATTTGATCATAAAAGTTATCGTACGAATTTTCGATTTGTCAACTTTTATCAGTACTACAATTTTGTTTTCATTACGCGTGCACGTAATGTGCCCTATACCTCAACGCTTTTGCGTGCGGGAAATAGCCAATACCTCAGCCGTTGAGTTATTTCTCTAACTCCACTCTTCTACGCAAAAACGTTTCGGTATAGGCACATTACGACGAGCACTTGTAATGAAAAGTTCTATGTGTAGCGAGTGGGGGCATATTTGTTTATAGGTCAGCACGAGCGTTCGTGTAGTGTGTACTCGCGCCCATCCCGCGCTATAAACTATCCCCCACTGTTACACAATGTACTATTATTAGTTTTTGGAAAGTATTAACTCTTTAAATATTATTGTTGTAAAGTAATAACGATTTATATATCGATCCGATTACATAGCGCGCTGCACGCAACGCGAAAGTTCGAACCGTTCGCTTCCGCGAAACAAAGGTATCAATAATGTATCAAAACATAACCCAGATAACATTTATGTTGCATAAGATATCTAAAAGACATCTTTTAGACATGTTTTAGACATAAGACTTCTAAAAGACGTCTTTTAGATATCTTGTGCAACATAAATGTTATTTGAGAATATATTTAAGGACTCTCAAAATCTTTTTCAACTTCTTAATTGTTTATAGTTACAAAATAAGAATTAGAGTATCATATCAATAAAAATTGATCACAATAGCGTATTTTAATCTATTATGTCTGTTTCCACCAATGCAGATTAACTTTAATCTCGGTTTAACTTACTATTCATCTTTTTCTAATTTTTAGAATTAGAAAAAGATGAAGAGCAAATTGAACCGAGATTAAATAAGTTAATCTGCATTGGTGGGAAATGGGCATTAGCAAATATAAACATACTTCTTTCCGTTATATATATATGCAATGAGATACTACTCTACCAGGGTTGCCACAAATTTTTCATCCTAAAATTTCCTGACATTTCCCTGATTTTACTGATAAAATTTTGTAATTTTCCCTGAATTTCAATAATAAATATTTTGAAATATTTTTTGTATTTTCATCTTGATTTGAAAATTGTTAAATATTTTGTTGATCGAGTAATTTAACATAACAGTGTAATTATAAATTAATGTTATAATATGTGTATATAAACTTACCTTTTTAAAAAAAAGGTAGAAAAAAGCGCTAAGAGTGGGTGCTGCTGGTCAGAAAACCATTTGGACCAGTTTCACCAACGTCAATTACTTAATCGACTGTGAAACTGACCAATCACATTTGCTGTTTAGTAGAACCATCTTTAAAAACCTACGTGATATTATCCTTATTTACTTAATTCAAATGACATGTATCATTTGTATAAAAGATTTGATATCAATAGTAGGCGCCAAGTTAAATTCTAATCTTTAAAAACCAACGTGGTATTATCCTTATTATTTAATTAAATCAATGACATGTATCATTTGTATAAAAGATTTGATATCAATAGT